TGGGAATACACGGGGCACCAAGATCTGGCAGTGGCTCGTTTCATCATCAGGGTAACCCTTGCTCAATACACCAACGGCCGATGCCAGGGGAAGGAAGAATGACATAAGCATAAAAACTTTGAGGTCCGCGCGGATTTCTCGGATCGGCGTTGGAGATCCTTGGTGTCTCCGGCGCCGCCGGGCCCAGCGCTGATCCGAGAAATCAGCGCGGACCTCCGAGGTTTTTGTGTTTATGTCAATATTGGTTTCCCTAGACACGTAATATTGGGAGATTATGTTATGATCCGCGGCCTGCGGAGACGCGGCTGTATCTCCATGCATCCGAAGTGGGGCTGTTGTTTTCTTTGGAAGCCCCGCGCAGCCATCACACTTCACCTCACACCCCCACTTGTCGTCAGCATCATCACCATCGTCAGCAGGGTCTCTCACACAAGCACACTCGTACACACTGACACCATCACCACCACCATCACCATCATCATCTCGCACGTACTCACGCACTCATTGACACTCGCATTTTCATTCACATACCTACACATTCATCTTGAGGAAATCTCGAGCGGGAGCCTCGCTTGTGAGTGACTTGCGGGGATGCCTTAGGCGGGGGCCCTTTCTTTATGGGGTCGCCAAACCACGTGAACAATCCAAGCGGGCCATCCAGATCCTGCAACCGTCTTCGCGTTGGGGGTCCTCAGGCGCAGATTTGGAGGAAATCTCGAGCGGGAACCTCGTGTGTGAGTGACTCATTGAGAAGTCAGGCGGGAGTCCCCTTCCTATGGTGCCGCCAGGTCATGTTAGTAATTCGAGCGGGTCATCCAGATGTTTTAACCGTCGTCATTTCTGGGACTCTTGAGGCGTGGACCAGGAGGAAGTCTCGAGCGGGAGCCGCGTTTGTCAGTGAATCCTGAGGACGTGTCAGGCGGGACCCCCCTCTCGATGGGGCCGCCAGGTCACGTTAATAACCCGAGCTTGCCATCCAGACCCTGTAGCCGTCGTCACGTTGGGGCTCTTGAGGGAGGATGCTTCAAGCAGGAGTTTCGTGTGCGAGTGGATTGTGAGGAAGTCTCAAGCGGGAGACACCCCCTTCTTTGCAGCCGCAACATCAAATTAGCAGCCCAGCTGCTCATCCAGAGTTTATCCTTGTCGTCTCTCTGGGGCCTATGCGGCGTTGACCAGGAGGAAGACTCCAGCGGGAGCCTCGTCTGTGAGTGAGTTTTAGGGCAGTCTCGGGCGGGAGCCTCGTTCTCATGGGGCCGCCAGATGACGTTAGCAATCCGATCTTGTAATCGTCAATTGTCGTCATGCTACGGTTCCTGAGGCGTGGATCTGGAGGACGTCTCAAGCGGGAGCCTCGTTTGCGAGTGAACCCTGGTAAGCCTCAAGCGGGAGCCCATTCCCGATGTGGCCGCCAGGTCATGTTAGTACTCCGAACGGGCCATCCACATGCTGTAACCATTGTCAGTTTGAGGCTCCTTAGGCGTGGGCCAGGAGGAAGTCTCGAGCGGGAGCCTCCTCCGAAAGTGATGTGTGAGGGCGTCCCAGGCGGAAACCCACCTCATGATTACGTTAGCAACCCGAGCGGGTCATCAAAATCTTCTATTTGTCATCTCCTTGGGTCTCTTGGGGCGTGGATCCGAGTGAGTGGGTGGGAAGTTCCGAGCGGGAACGCACCCCCCTCTGGGGTCCGCAAAATCGGCTGCGGCACGGGGAATGCACGCCAGGCGAGCTCCTTCGCCCCCGCTTCCTGCCACAGGGGATCTGGATGCAGGTGCACGTCTTCAACGGGGCCCCGATCTACCAGGAGGTCGCCGAGCTGCTGGCCCAGAGTGCCGAAGGCCTTCGTGACGTCGGCCAGGCCGAGGGTGGGGCGCCCGGCTTGTTCATGTTCAGGCCCATCGAGCAGAAGCTCACGCGACAGAGCTCGGGACCGCATGCCGTGCGCCGCTCGGGGTTCACCCCGACGCACGCGCCCTGCATCACCCCCGCGCCGTTTCAGGGTCAGACGCTGCGCAGGGGCGCCGCCGTCGAGCGTGCCAGGGATGAGGACGATGGCTGCGCGAGCATGTACGACGAGACATGTGCGATCTCCTGCGCCACGCGCGTGCGGAGCATGCACATCCCGCGGCCGCCCTCGCGCCAGTCTCTGGAGCGCGGGCCGCTGGCGTCCTTGCCCGCCGGCGTCATTGCGGAAGGCGCTCAAGGCGTTCGGCTGGAGATTCCTGCGGCGACGATGGGGGCGAACCGCCCAGGGACGGGCATTGCACGCATTCGCCCGGGAATCCTTGTCGAAGACAGAATGATCATCGGCGCACCCGAATACACGTGTTGCTCTCACCTGGGCTATTCGCCCCCTTCGTCGCCTTTTGAGGCGAGCGGCGAGCTCCAGAGCGGGGCCGACCAGCTCGCCGCAGCTTCCGGCTTCGCGCTGCGTCTCGCCCCGGCGCGGCCGCGCCCCGCTCGAAGCCCGCGGGGGTCTGCCCCGAGCGGTTGGCATCGCGCGCCGGCGGCCTGGGGGGGGGGGCGGCTTCGACGGCGCGGGTCGCGGGACTTGCCCCGATTCAGGAGGGGACAAAAGCACACAGACACAATGAATCGTCGGTCCCCAGGAAGAAGTGGGAAGATATGGGAAGGGGGAGAAAACGAAAACCCAAAAGATATTGAAAAAGATGTGGGATCCTAGGCAGGAGGACGAGGAGGTGACAAAGCAGGGGGCGGGAGGAGGGACTGCGCCAGGGAGAGAAAGAGAGTGCCAGAGAGGAAATAGGAAGAAAACCTCCGTAATCACAGGAACGACGATGAGTATTACTTCCAGGTTAACCGAAGAAATGATCAAATGGCCTTCGGCCCATCCCGCCACCATGCACGGGCTGTGGATTTGAGTTTTCCTGTGTGTTTCTTCGGGTCTGTTCGCAGCGCTCTCTGGGGCCTCGTGAGGTCAGTTTTGAGTCCTCTTGGGAGCCTCTTGAGGGCCTGTGGGGGGCCTCGTGGGGCTTCTTGGGGACCCCTTGGGGCTTTCTGGGGGCTCAGTGGGCTCCCCATATGGGCTCCCCATTTGGGGCCCCTCTTGGAGCCGGCTTTGGGCAATTTTTGGTCCGTCTTGGACGCATCCTAGGGGCCTTCTTGGGGTCGTCTTGACGCCCTCTCGGGGGCCTCTGGGGCCGTCTCGGGGCGATGTTGGGGGCATTTCTGGCTGCTTTGGAGCGTCGGGAAGCCGACAAGGCGAGAAGGCCAACACTCGTCAAACACCTCAGGCACATCACTGATGTTTGTCTTCGAGGGCCCTCTCGGGAGTTGTGGCGTCGTGGAGGCCCCTGGGGCCTCGTGCGGCGATTCGGGGTCTTTTTGGGGGGCTGTTTTGGGGCAGGGCTGGACCTAAACGTTGTTTTTCGTTTGTGTTCGTTTTGTGTTTCCTGTTTTCCTGTACTCCCTCCCAGAACGAAAAAAACAAAGCACAGCCGAAGTCCAGCAAAACAGCGTTTAGGTCCAGCCCTGTTTCGGGGGCCGTTGCAGGTCTTCGTGGCCCTCCTGGAGCCACCTCGGCTCCAGACGCATCAAGCGGGGAGCTGCGCCGAGCGGCGCCAAACCCTGGGAGATTTAAGATGGTCGGGCCCGGGCCTTTTTTTACATATTCACCAGGAGTGAAGATTGAGGCCCAGAGGAGTAGGGAACGGACGCGAGGACACGCCCACCCTGTGCCCAGGAGAACGGTGGATGATCACGCGGGGTCCTGCCGTCGGAGAGATTGAGTTTAGGTATTGTCTTTGCCAGCAGTGAACGCGAACGACAGAGATTTCGACTTTGCGCAGCGAGGCTCGAGGAGGAGGAGGAGGAGGAGGAGGACGAGGAAGAGGAGGGGACGGCAGCGGTCAGATGATGACGACAATGAGTTGCCACGAGATGCTCTCACCGCGTCTGGTATCTGGTACCCGACCGCCACGCGAAGCGGGCTTCCGCCGCCGCACAATTGCGCATGCAGGGCGGAAGCCTGTCAAGCACAGGGTGGGCGGGGCCCTTTGTTGGGGGCTTGAGCCCCCACTGGGGTAAACAGAGAGAAAGAGAGAAAGAGAAGAAGAGAGAAAGCGAGAAAGAGAGAGAGAGAGAGAACAAAAGAGAGAGAGAGAGAGAGAGAGAAAGAAAGAGAGAGAGAGAGAGAGAGAAACCAGAAGGGCAGAAAACAGAAGGAGGGAGCTTGCACATACTGGGGTCTGAGAAAGCTGAGCGTCGACAGCAAACAACGAAAGTGAGCCTGCCAGCAGTGAGCGCTAAGGAAAGAAATTCGAGCAGGTGCAGTGAGGCTCGAGGAGGAGGAGGGGAAGGAGGAGGAGGAGCAGGAGGAGGAGGAGGAGGAGCAGGAGGAGGAGGAGGCGGCGGCAGCGGTGAGTTGACGACGACGATAAGTTGCCATGAGAAGCGCTCACCGCATCTGGCATCAGACGAAGCGAAACGGGCCTCCGCAGACCCCTTCAGCAAATCGCAAAGCAACTCCCCGGCGTCCTCTCGGGCAGAGCCGGTCTGCAGCGCGTTCTGCTTGCAGCCGCTTCTGGCAGAGCGTTCTCTATTTGTTTGTCCTCTCTCCCTCGCTTTCTATATGTTCCTCCCCCTCTCTCGATACGTGTCTGCGTATAGATACACAAATATGTATGTGTATATTTCTGGAGTCAGGCTGTCACCCGCCGCAAGGACCGGCCGACCGCCAGAGTCGGACGCGCGCGGCTTCCGTAGAAAGATTGCACAGGTGTGTTCTGCATCAGTGTTGCAGGTGCCCGACAGTCCGTAGCCATTTTGGCTCAAGCCATTTCGGCTTCAGACGTGAGCTCAAGCCAGAGGCGTTTGTGTCCTGGAGCTTGGCGCTTGCAGGGTACCGGGTAGTTCCAGTCGGCATGCGCACCATATTAATGGGGGACACGCTTGGTGAGTCAGCAAAGGACGCAACTTTCCTAATATATACTTGGTCTTTGTTGATTGCATCTGCGGTGGTGTTGGCAAAATACTGCGGCAAGGGAACCGCCAGTCGGCAGAGCAGCACTGATGCTCTAACGGGCTTCCGCATACTCACTGCTACCGTGATCGTTCTGGAGCACACTGGTTTGAGGTTGCTGGTCAATGGTGCATCTTTGTTCCTTCTGCTAAGTGGGGGTGTCATTAGCCTGACGCGCCGTAAGGAACCAGGACAGTTGAAAGCGCCTTTCTCTTCGGCTAAAGAAGTTGTCACTTTCATATTCCTTCGCTGGATGCGCGTTGTACCTCTGTATTGGTTTTGCCTCGCAGTCTATGAGACCGACGCGGCGAAGGTCACGCACGACGATTTTGACTTCCTTGCGCCGTTGAGGTTTGTTGTGCAGTTGCCAATTCAAATAGTTTTGCTCCCGTGGTCAAACCCGCATTATTTCTTCTTTATCGAGAAGATGGGGCAAATGGGCAGATGATTTGTACCGGTGATTGTTCAATTGTATTTCTTGTTCCCTGCATTTGAGCTTGCAATTTTCGGCAGGACTAGGCAGCTCTCCAAAAACAATTTAATCAAAGCCATCGTGTGGTGCTGTGCGTGCAAGATCGTTTTTTTTCGTTTTGATTCTCTGGGCGAAAGACGTGGGCCGTATACCTGCTGAGGATGGTTCCTTCGATGTGAATGGTCTGTGGCCATGCCCGGGAGTCCAGGCCGGCTTTGAGGCTGTTTTTGAACCGTGGCCTGCTCGCGTGCGAGGTGAGAACCAGTGTTGGTGGGATTTCAAGTATGTATCTTTGCCACGGGCACCCGATTTCGTGTTGGGCATGTTGATACCTCACGTGGACTTCCGCACGGACAACGCTTTGCCCCAGAGAGAGAGAGAGAGAAAGAGAGAGAGACACCGAGAGAGAAAAAGACAGATATGGGCGGTATTCCGACAGAGCCAGGTGGGCTGGCGTTGCCGTTTCGTGTGCGGACGTCGCTTTTGTTCTGATTGTGGTCGCCTCTATCTATCATCAAATGCACGATGTGCCACATTGGTGGGCAGTTTGTAAAGCTTGGAATCCGTTGTTCCTGCCGTCGATGGTAATTGTCTGGGCATTGAGTTTTGGCCCGAGGCAGAGCTATCTCGGAAAGCTGCTAAGCCATGGGCCATTTGTTTCCGCAGGGCATTTCGCGTACGGTGTGTACATGTGGAGTAAAATGTATTCTGGATATGCTTATTCGTTGTATTTCACTAGCGGGACCACGATGTTGCAACTTGTCATATTTCTAATGTTTATATACGCAGTATCTTGGACAACTTTCCGACTCGTTGAGGAGCCTTGCGGTGATGTGGCTCGATACATGGTAGGTCATGTTTCAAGTGGTACGCCGCCACGTCAGCCGGCAGAACCTCAGATGAAGCAACTATGTGACACGGATACGTCACTCGATCCGTATTCGGATGATGGAGAAGGTTCCAGCGCGTCCTCAGACAATACATCCGATTGTACGACGGCGAGCCAAAGATGTTGTGCTAGTTTCTGACACGCCGGTGAGAGAGCATTAGTTTTCTGACATGATTTGTTTTGAACCCAGCGCGAACGCGCTGAGTGTTTGTATGTGGCCGTGCCGGGGCTGCCGTCTCGAGGTGAGAGCATCGTCATGGCGAGGGGCGCGATGGTGTTTTGATGCTCCAGTGCATTGCGCATCAATAGCCACATATTATTTATGTAGCTTCGTCTTGCAATGATGAGCCAGCGCGTTTCTTAGCAGTGCGTTCGATTGCAAGACGGCGCGCCTAAGATGGTGTGCCAGTTTCTTGCAGCCGACATCAATTCCTACAACTCACATCAATTCCGACAACTCTTCTTTTTCAACGGTGTTGCTGCTGCTCAGATCAATGCCTACAGTTTTTCTTTTTCAACGGTCCTCCGCGCGCGTGATGCGAGATCGTGAGTTCGCCAATGTGCTGCTGGCAGTTTCAAAAAAAAAAGTGTTGCAGGTGCCCGACAGCCAGCGAACACTGAGATTTGTATATCAGAGTGAGGGGGCCGAGAAGTCCTGCATTGCCCCTGGAAGCTTGGCTCAAGGGGGGGTCCCAAATGCGGAGGACTGGTGTTCTTCTTGTCGCCGGCCCCACCCCGCGACTCACCCGCGACGCGCCGCGCGACACACCCCCGACCCGCCCGGCAACCCACCAGCGACCGACCCGCGACCCACCCTTGACCCGCCTAGCGACCCACCCCTGACCAGCCCAATGACCCACCCGCGGCCCGCCCCAAGACCCACCCGCATTGGTGTGACAAATATCGGGCCGGGCGAAAGGGGGGGATTGGGAAAGGGGGGGTTACGAAATTCTAGACGCTTCGCGTATCCCCACCAGCCCGTCCAGAAATGAGTCCCAGGGGAGTGGAGGTTATGAGGGAAGCGGGGGAGCATGCAGAAGAACAAAGGGCGGGGTGAGCCGCCATATACCCCAAGAGGGGGAGGATGTAGGAGGAGCCGTCGTCGTCGGAGTAGGAGGAGGAAGAGGAGGAGCAGGAGGAGGAGCAGGAGGAGGAGCAGGAGGAGGAGGAGGAGGAGGAAGATAAGGAGGAGGAGATGGAGGACTGCGAGGACGAGGAGGACGAGAAGGAGGAAAAGGAAAAGGAGGAGGAGGAGGAGGAGGAGGAGGAGGAGGGGGAGGGGGAGGAGGGAGGAGGAAGAAAAAGAGGAGGAGGAGGAGGACAATGGCGAGCTTGGGGGCCTCTTGGGCCGTCTTTGGAGCCTCTTGGCGGTCCCGGGGGCCTCTTGCGTATCTCGGGGAGCCTCTTGTGGCCTCTTGGGGGTCTCTTGGGGGCCTCTTGGAGGCCTCTTGGGGGCCTCTTGGGGCCTCTTGGGGCTCTCTTGGGGCGCTCTTGGGGCGCTCTTGGGAGCTTTCGAGGCGCTCTTGGGGCCATCTTGGAGGAGATCTATCAAAGAAGGGGGGGTCCTCAATTAGCGCTGCCCCTCTAGAGTGCCTCGAATCGCTTCTTGGGCCCTTCTTGAGGCCAAAATCTTTCCAAAACCTAGGTAAAATCAATGTTTTGTGTTTTCTCGCCTTTTCGCTCTTGGAGCCGTCTTGGGCCGTCTTGGGAGCCTCTTGGGCCTCTTGGAGGTCTCTTGGGAGCCTTTTGGAGGCCTCTTGGGCGCCTCTTGGGGCCTCTTGGGGCGCTCTTGGGGCGCTCTTGGGGCGCTCTTGGGAGCCTTCGGGGCGCTCTTGGGGCCATCTTGGAGGAGATCGATCAAAGAAGAGGGGGTCCCCAATTAGCGTTGCCCCTCTAGAGTGCCTCGAGTCGCCTCTTGGGCCCCCCAAGAGGCCAAAATCCTTCCAAAACCTAAGGAAAATCAATGTTTTTTGCTTTCTCGCCTTTTCGCTCTTGGAGCCGTCTTGGGCCATCTTGAACTCTCTTGGGGCCTCTTGGGGGTCTCTTGGCAGCCTCTTAGAGGCTTCTTGGGGGCCTCTTGGGGTCTCTTGGGGCCCTCTTGGGGCGCTCTTGGGGCGCTCTTGGGAGCCTTCGGGGCGCTCTTGGGGCCATCTTGGAGGAGATCTATCAAAGAAGGGGGGAGCTCCAATTAGGGTTGCCCCTCTAGAGTGCCTCGAAGCGCCTCTTGGGCCCCCCCAAGAGGCCAAAATCCTTCCAAAACCTAAGGAAAATCAATGTTTTGTGCTTTCTCGCTTTTTCGCTCTTGGAGCCGTCTTGAGCCATCTTGGGCGTCCCTGACACCTCGCGAGACGCCTCGTCCAGGTCAGTGGGGAGGGGTAAGGGGAGGGGTAAACCCCTCCCCGAAGGGAAAGAAGGGGGGTTGGCAGAGGAAACGCTCTAGACCACCTACGCCCTAAAGGGCTGGTGGGATTTGCTGCATGCAGCTGGTTTCGGCCTCACCGAGGGGCCCATTCCTCCATACATAGCCGCCTCCGGCGCCGGGAGGCGCCGGGAAAATCAGCTACATGAGCTGATTCTCACCCCCCCCCTTTGCTACCCCCCCCTTTCGCCCGACCCGAAAATAAGTCAGAGCTTGCGGCCTGCTCGTGGCACGATGTCTTGAAGATATCAGGGGTTGCGGCGGGCTTATTCACATGTGCTCTCGAGTCTCGCAGCCTGCCGACGCCCGCCCTCTACCCCCTCAGTCTTATCCGCACTTGCGGGGGTCAGGGTGCAGGAGCTGTACGTTTCAAGCTTGAAAATGTGTGATCTCTGAAGCTTTTATAAATCAAAACGCCGTCGGTGCCTGTAGAGGCCTGATCCTCGCGCGGAGATGTAGATGCAGTCGACGGGTGGGACTGCAATTAAGCCGATGCACTACGACGTTCTGCGATGGCGCACACCAGGGTATCATCTCACGTGATGCGATGGGATACTCTTTCGTAGTGGCACGTGCTTGGTTGATGCTGGGTCGGGAAATCGATCAGATATTTCTCCTAGGTGGGAACTTCTGAGTCCATTTCCGCTGCCATTCCTCGTCGGCCTCCGCCCCCGTTGCGCCCAGCTCCGCTCCCCTCCGCCCCTCCCCCGCCGCTCCCCTGCCTCCCCCTCCCCTCCCCAGCCCTCCCTCTGCCCTGCCCCTTCCCTCTCACCCCCTGGCTCCCCCCGCCCCACCCCATCCCCCCCCCCGCCCATCCCCGTTCGTCGTTGTCGCCGTCGTCGTCCTCCCTCCTCCCTCGTCGTCGTCTTCGTTGGCGACGTCGCCGTCGTCTTCGTCGTCGTCGCAGTCGGCGTCGGCGTCGTCGTCTTCGTCGTCGTCGACGTCGGCGTCGTCGTTCCTCCCCCCTCTCCGCCTTCCGCTCCTCCTCCGGGAGGCCCGCCCCGGGCCCTGGCCCGCGGTGGCACGGCCTAGGCCCGCGGGGGCACTCCGGCCGGCCGGCCCTCGCGCTCCCCGTGAACGTCCCCGAAGTGCTCGCGGTGCGGAGGGGGTGCTCTCTGCTTCGTCGTCGTCATCCTCGTCGTCGCCGCCGTCGTCTGCATCCTCCTTTTCCCCCCGCCGGGTGGCTCGCTGCGTGGCACTCTGGGGCGGCGCGCATGCCGAACGGCCAGCCGCCAGCCCGACCCAGGCGTCGGCGCTTGACTCACTGGTTGTCCTCTCGCGATCAGGATCGCCTGCCTGGCGCCATCTTGCCCGCAGGCGACGCGCCTGGGCTCGGCTCGTCCACCGCAGGCTGACGCCGCCAGCGATCTTGCACGACCACGGCGGCGACACGGTCATGGCTTTCTCTGGGGTCCCGTGGCAGGCCCCGAGAGGGCCGCATGCGGGCGGCCGCCACTCGTGGCGATCGCTGCCCTCTTTCTCATCTCCGGCCCCTCGCCGCAGGAGGCAAGCAGCAGCACGAGGCGCTGCCAGACCCGGCGAGGAGGCCAGGCGCAGGGCAGTCCCCTCCTCGCCGCGCCGCCTCAGGCGCGACGGCCCCCACCACCTCGCGCAGACGGCCGGCGCCGGCCCCAGAAGTCCGCGGCGGCGGTCCGGGCGCCGATGTCCTGCGCATGCCTGGGGTGCTCTGTCTGCGCCGCGCGGTCTGCCCCGTTCCTGCTGCCCCGGTGGCTGCCATGCGCGCGGCTCCTCGCGCGCTGGGTGGTGCAGACGGCCACGTCCGACCTCGGCCAGGGCCGGCGCCGCCGGTGCGGCTCTGCGCCCCGAAGGGGTGCCCCGCTCGGCGCGGGGCGCCGTCCGCAGACCAATGGAGGGCGCGCGCGAGGCTGGCGAAGTCCTGCGCTTCGCTTGTCCCGCCCACTCCCCGCCACGGCCTGTGGATCCCTGGTCGCGATGGCCTCGCAGCCCCGCCGCGCGGACTTCTGACGCAGGCGACGGGGGGCCCGGGGACACACGGCCCGGGCGGCCCAGCTGTAGAACCACGTGGAGAGCATGGTTGGTAAAGCCACCACGGTGCCAGCGTCGGCCGCCAGCGCGGCGTCCGCGCCGGCGGCGCCGGTCGGGTGCCACGGGCCGCGGCAGGCCCGAGGAGCGTCCCGACGGCGTCAGCAGGCGCGGAAGTGCACGGAGCATGTCGCCCGCCTTTGACGGTTTCGGGTCACTCGCTCAGCTGGGCTGGGCATCGGGCTGCTCACATGAAGAAAGCCATGACCAAGCTCGCGTCATTCGACGGGTCCGGCCGTCTCAGTTGCAAAGTCTCTTGGTGGACAACGAGGAGACCGCGGACGTGGCCGCGCAAGAGTGCCGTCTGGATCGCGAGAATTTCAAGGTTGATGCGCACTGGAACGCCAACAGCGACTGGAAGGCCCACACCTCGCCGCGCCGCCGCCTGGAGACCACCAGGCCAATCGCGGGAGATGGCTCGTTCGTCAGAGACTTTGTCGCCGCGCGCCTGAGCTGTATTGGAGCGAGTCTGCAGAAATTGTCGTACCGCTGCTTCGCGCGCCCCTTCGTTGTCGCCGCCTGGGATTGAAACGCAATCCTCTTCGACCTCGAAGGCTCCAGGCCGGGGCGGCGCGGCCGCATCTCCAGATGTTGGTCGACGTGGCGCCCCATCAGAGAGAGCTCGGGCAGTTGGGGTCAGATGCCCCCCAATTCCCGCCCCGAGACTAGGCGCTCGACAGGGCGCTTGCTCTGACGCGGGCCACCGCTCTTATCAGCAGGTCTGCAGCTTCGCCGCGCTCCCGACTCGTGTCTCGCGACCGTCCACTCGCCGATATCGCCGCTGTTGTCAGCGCCCGCGCCTGGGCGCTTGAGGAGCGCGGCGTCGAGTCGCCGCGCGATCTTCCTCCGGTGGCCCGAGGGCGCTGTCGCCATCTCGTGGCGGCAGATCTTCTGCCGCGCCCTGATTCGCGATTGGGCCCGCGCTGCGACTCGCGGCTGTGGCCCTCGTCGCCCCCCGTGCCCAGGCAGTAGTCGGCTCCCAGATGGATCGTCGGCGCTGCTCCCCCGCCGCCGCCGTCTTCCCCCGGCAGCTCGGAAGGGGTGGATGACAACGAGTTCGCGGTGGGCCGCCCGACGCGGGGTTCGGCCGGCGAGTTCCAGACGCGGCCCGGGGGCCCGCCGCCCTCGGAGCTGGCGCGCCGAGGGCGAGGGGCGCGAGGCGCGTGGCTCCCTTCTGCCTGGCGGACAGGCACGGGCGCCGACCGCCCTGCGCCCGGGCCCCTTCGAGCGACGACGCCACCGCCTGCGCGGTCTACCCGGCGCGGGCCATCGAGAGCAGGCAGCGCTAGCCAGAGCAAGTGATGGCGGCCCGCGCGGCGCAGCTCGCGGAGGCGCCAGGCGGCCGTCGCCCGATTGCCCTGCTTCTGCCGCGCGCCGCATCTGCGCCAATGCGCGCACGGCCCACGCCGGGCGGCGGCTGACCGACCACGCGAGGCCCCACTTCGCCATGGGGGCTTCGAAGTCCACGGCGGCCCGCCCCCTCGCCCGCCCGAAGGCGGTTGCCAGACGCATCGGCGGCGCTGCTCCGATCGCGAGTCCCGGCAGCAGCTGGTCGAGGCCGCGAGGCGCAGCAGGTTCCCGACGACCACCCCGCGCAGTGCCATCGCTATGTACCACGCGCATCAGCGATGGAGTTGGGCGCGAACGTTCTCGCGAGCGCCATCAGTTACTCGTGGCGTTATTTTGGAGTGCGCCGACGCCGCGCGTTTCCAGCCAACAGAAAAGGGCACCGCTCGACGCCTTGATGGAGCCGCCGTCGCGCGCGCGCCCCGCATCTTGGACGTCCGCGCCGACGACCTCGCGCTGCAGACAGCGGCCCGTCGCCGGGAGGAGCGCGCGCGCGGATCATGGCGGCTAAAGCCGTCACCACGAAGGTCGAGAACCGCTTTCACGCGGTCACCGCCGCGCCCGCTCTCGGCATGGAATCGATAGGCGGGCGCGCGCCGAAGCACCGCCCGTGAAGTAGACTGCCGCGCTTCCGCATGCATGAGCGGGCGACGGCGCCTGCGATCGCGCCGGGCAAGACTTACGTTGCGCAGGCCACGAGCGCCCCCCACCCTCCATCCCCCCTTCGTTGGCGAGGCGCCTCAAGACGCACGCGCGAGCGGGAGGGGGCGCCCAACGCTAAGGCGGCCTTCTCGATTTGGATTGCACCAGTGCGCAACCGGAACGTCTGCCAACAAGTCGAATTCATGCCAGTCGCGGGGCCAATCTACACGCGGGCGTCAATATAGTCGACTCCTCACGTGACCCCGTGGACATCCTACTGGGCGCGCGGAAACTCCAGACCATGCGGGTCTAGGTCGAGGCTCCAGGGAGCGTTGCTGTCAGTTCTGCGGGAGCTCTGGCCACGCTGATGCACCGCCTACGCCGGTGCGCCTTCTCGGCCTACTCGCCAAGGGAGAGCGCGGGCATCCTCCTGGACCTGCGGGGCACTGGCCCATCCAGGGTCCGCGCGCTTGCTCGCGGGAATCTCGGGACAGCCAAGCGGGCCGAGTGGGCTCCTCGCGAGGAGCACGCGCCCGGGAATACACATAGTCGCGTGCCCTGGGCCGCTTGGGATACTGGCTGGAATCGATTCGCGGGCTCCTTTCGGATGCCCGCGAACGCCCTAGGTGGCAGTTGTCGCATCCTGGCGCGGTCGTCTTAAGAAATGCGATGACTGGTGGCCAATGGTTACACTGCCGTCTGTTTAAGCATCACCATGGTAGCGTCGCTGCCTGTCAGGTGCGCGGCGCCAGATGCGGCACGCTGCAGCGTCGTCTTCGGCACTTTCCCCGTGCCGGGAAGTGCTCTCTGAAGCCTTCGACGCCCCACATATGACGCGTGCGAGGTCGGCCCTAGATCAGCGCCCCATACCCCAGGGATGGCATTCCCAACGTTTGGCCCGCCACGTTTGAGACCCCGTGTCTGGAACAAGGTAGGGGGTACATGTTGCGCGCGGACTCGGCTTTGGGCACCACTGGGGTCGCGCGCGCGGGCGGGTCGGGTCAGGAGCTTAATTCTGGCCTAAACCAGTTCGCGCAGAGCGGGGCCCAGCGGTCACGCCCAGGTTCTTCTTATTGAGTCAAGGGTTTGGTCCCTTTCCGCGGCACCAGCAGGGCGCGCCCCAACCTGAGGTATTCTCGATGACGCATGCCCGCCGTCGCCGGCGAGCACCGGTGTTCACCCGCAAGGCAGGCCGCGCATGGCGCCTCGATCTTGCCAGGCGAAACATCGATATCAGGTTGATGCGGCGAGCGGTTGGCGGCCAGACTCAATGGCTACCAGGCTCACTGTCTACCGGGCTCAACTGCCTCAGACCGAGAAGTCTCTCGACAGGGTCGGGGGCGAGTTTTTTAAATGACATGGCCGCGAAGCGCGGTGTGACTGACTGGCTCACGCTCCTGTCTGGATCAGGCTCGCAGCTCGGGCCCCCTCCTCTCCCTCTCGCGCCAGACTGCGCGCTGCACGGCGCGTTGCGGCGGGCGGCGGCGCGCCGCTGCCGCGCAGCGGCGGCCCGCGCACTCCCCCCTGGGCGGCCGTCGGAGGCCGCGCGCGGCCCTGCGCGCGGCGCGCTCGAGGGCCGCGCCCGAGAGGCTCCCCGTCGCTGCTGCTGCTCTAGGGGGGGGGGGGGCAGGGGGCGGCGAGGCCTCGGTCGCGGGCGGCGCGGCCCCGCTGCCGCGAGCGGCGCGGGGGGGAGGGGCGCCGGCGCGCTCGCGCAGCAATCGACGCGCGCGTGGGGCCTTCAGAACTGGCACGCGCGAGTGGCGCGTGGGAAAAGGGCTTGCGACCTTCTCCCTGACCTTCCTCCACCTACGGGAAACACGGTAGGTTCGACTCTTCGGTCGTTGACCTACTTCCACACCTGCCACTCAGGCTGCACTGCCCCTGGAGGGCGACGAAAGCTGCCTGCGCTCGGCACACAGAAGACACATCGGCATCCGCAGTGCTGGCTTGATCTGCATGTTGGTCGGGGTCTCGTTCTGGCGTCGCGAGGCCCCGCGAGGAGTCCGATGAGGCCCTCTCCCAAGAGGCTCGCGGTCATGCCGCGTTCGAAGCCGGCGGGCGGGCCGATCCTGACGGCCTTGTCGGGGCCCTCATCCGCGCTCACGAGCATTCTTCTGAGGTGAAGCCATCGCAGAAGTCGGCATCGTGTTTCCGAGGCCCTGAACGAGCCAGCTCCGAGCGCGGGTCGAGATCACGCTGCCGAGGTGACCAGCATCATTCCGATGGCCCGCTCATGGACCATGCTATGTTTATGGCCAGCTCGCGCATTGCCTGTCGGGGGCGCGGCTCTTGTTGCTGAGGGAGCAAGTGCCAGCTCGTTGGGGCCTGTCAGATTGACCCGATAGAGCGCACACCCCGGGACTTCACCTCTGCACCCAAAGGCGTCACGCTACGCCAAAGGCACCGTGTATCTTTGCATCTGATATCACGATGCGGCGGCGTGACTGGACCTGGTGCGATTTACATCGCCGTCTTCTTCACAAGGCCTGCTACGGCAAGTCATGGGCCTTGGATCGCGTGCTGACCGTGATGGGGGGTCGCCGTTGTGTATCCAAATATCGAAAGATCTTCTATGATGTTCCGTCGAAATTGGGCTGTGCCTAATTTCTTTTCACAGCGCTCTTCTTCGTCTCATCACCGAATTCGGCGCGTTATTTTCAGTTGTGTCTGTCCTCCTCCTCCGCCTCCTTCTTGACCTCATCCCTCCCATGTTTGTCGTCATCTTCCTTCGTCCTCCTTCGTTTTTCTCTTTACAGTCGGGGCGCTGAAGAAGGAACCCTTTTCGTTGGGGAGGGGCTCGGTGTTCCTTGATTTCTTTACTTTGGGCTTGCCATGGGAAATCGAAGTTTTACTTATGGGAATAAGGGGCCCCGTTCCTTATTTAGGGTTCCTCAGGTAACGCCTCGACTGTATACTCCTTCTTTTCTCTTTCGTTGGCCCGCCTTTCCTTGCCAGCGCGGGAAGTGGGCGGAGTTGGTCTCGGATGCCAAAACACGCTGTCCTCGTGGCAGAGGTCGGGCCTCTCCACGGCGGCACACAATCGAGGCGTGCTGTTGCGGCCCTCCGCTTGTGAGCTCCGCCTTGCGCCACAGAGTGTTCCGTCTCACCGTGACAGCATCGGAGGTGGACAGACCTCCTACCCTGACACGTCGATTAAGGAATTGGCCGTTTTCGGCTCGAGAGAGAGCGTCGCGGCCGTCTTTTTTGCGGTCCAGGTCCGTCGGTTTCGGTCCCAGGCAGTTTTCACTAAGGGGAGGTTTACTAAAAAGGGAGGTTTGTCCATCGCCGACCGACAGCACTTTCCCCGCGCGCGCCATGGTTGCAGGCTGCCTGCGGGCAGCAGTTCGCCCCTGGGGGCGCGAAGCTGAAGCTAGCCTTACGTCGGGCCTGTCGCTCTACAGGAGGACTTTTCAAGAATGGCCACAACAAAAATGGCCAAAACAAAAAAAAGTCTGGGGGCGATTTTTCTAGTTTTTTGTTGACCTTGTTGGGTTCCCTTTTACTATTGTTTATGTGTCGTCCAAAATCCCCCTGTAGGGGGACAGGCCCGACCTCAAGCTATTCTCCAGGGGGCGGAGCGAGGTCGCGACGATAGCCGCGCGTCGCGCATCGCGTCACTGGTCGCGAAGCCAGACGGCAGCGAGCGCCTGGACAGCGTGGAGGATGCAGGCCTCTTGGATGGGGTCGGAGCGGATGGGGTCGGAGGATCGCGCCGCATCGCCGGTGCATCGCCGATGCGGCTCGGTGTGGAGCCCGAGTTGCTTGAGGTCGACGTCGCCGATGCACCGCCGATGCACCGCCGATGCATCGCCGATGCATCGCCGATACGTCGCCGATGCATCGCCGATGCATCGGCGATGCGGCGCGATCCTCCGACCCCATCTGCTCCGACCCCATCTATAGGAGGCCTCTGTAGGGGAGCGGGGGGGGACGGCAAGCAGCTCCGGCAGCAGCAGCCGCAGGGGCACGAATGAAGGGGCCTTTGGACACACAAATAGATACACACAAACAACAGGATTCCCCATAGTTTCATACATTTTCTGGGTTTCTGTCTTCCCCCGCACTTCCCATATTTTCGCATATTTCTTGGGAATCGACGATTAATTGTGTCTGTGTGTTGTTTTCCCTCCTGAACGAAGGCCAGGCGCGGGTCAGGGAGCCGTTGCCAGCCCGAAGCGTGTCGTTGTCCTTGTGGCTGGCATCGCGTCGTCCCGATGGCGGTCTGAAGGATCCCCTCGGTTTTTGATTGGTATCGCCTTCGGGCTGATCCGTCTCAGGGATACACACTGCTCATCTATACGTCTTCGAAAGTTATCTGATCTTTTTGGGGGGCCAAGATCCTTTCATTTAATCGCTTCGCTCATGCCGCCGGCCCTGGAGCCCTCTTTAGGGCCTCTTGGGGGCCTCTTGGGGACCTCTTGGGAGTCTCTTGGGGCTCCTTGGCGGCGTTTTGGAGGCCCCCAGGGCCTCTTGGGGGGCTCTTGGGGGTAGTCGATTGCGGCTCCCCCCTCGGAGGCCACGATCCTCGTGAGGGGTGTCGAAAAATACCCTCCCCTGGAGTGGTCTGGTGGCTTCTCCCGGGCTTCTCTCGGGACCTTGCCGGGGTACTTTTCGTCCGGGGGCCCCCAGGGGCCGCTCCGCGCGCGCGAACTAGAAATATGGTTAACAAGTTACCGGAGATCTTAGCACGCCTCTGGCCCGTTGGGCCGGCGAATTTCTAATTGTTCTATCCTGGGCCTCTTCCTGGCCACCAGGGGGCTGGGAACAATCAGAAACGAGCACAATTCGAAATGAGCACGATTAGAAATGAACGACGTGTAGGGATGAGCTCGAGGCTGGCTAGGAGCTAGGGGATGACGCGCGGGAGGAAGACGAGGCGGGCGTGCAAGGAGGTGCAGCGCGAGTACGACCGTTACGAGCGCGCCCTCTGCGCGAACGACGTGCGCGAGCTCGACGCGCTGTTCCTCGACAGCCCCGAGACCGTGCGCTACGGCACCGCCGAGAACCTGTACGGGTACGAGGCCCCTTTCCCTGCTGAGGGAGGGAGGGAGGGAGGGAGGGAGGGAGGGGGGGAGGGGGGAGGGAGGGAGGAGGGAGGAGGGAGGAGGGAGGAGGGAGGAGGGAGGAGGGAGGAGGAGGAGGGAGGAGGGAGGAGGAGGAAGGAGGGAAAGGTGGCGGCGTTATTGCGATTACGGCTAGGAGCGCTTTTGCTTCGGAGCGACGCTCTAGCCACCTCCTTTGTCCCCGAGCGTCCGCGCCCCCGGCCCGGCAGAGCGGAGCGACGCCGCATCCGCTTGCAGGGCACAGCGTGTCGCGAGGAAGCAAAGCAAGCCCCAGCGTCCTGGGTCGTTGAACTTGCAAGACGGAGGAAGGAAAGGATGGAGTCAGGGGTGACGCGGCCAGCGTAGCCTGTATGGCAGACGATGTGTATGCCTTAGGTCTGGCGCACGTGTGTAACGTGCACCATGGTGTGCGTCGCTTTCGCCATGGCCTGCCTTTGCTTGAGGGGATCTCATCGTTCCGGTTGCCCGAGCAGTGTTTGCACTTAAGGGCTTGTGCTTGCGTTATACGGAATCGGCCCAGCCGCTCGCGCGCTGGCGCATGCGGTTGGTGCTTTATGGGTAGCGGGTGGTACCATGCTTCAGGGAATTGCCTCTGCGGGGTGCGATCGACCATTCGCGCGCTGGCGCCCATGGTTCCATGGTTGGTGTTCTACGGTTGGTTCCCTTTGGTGCCATATGCGTTGGCGCTTCGCTGCCTTACGGCCTGTTCCCCGATTGTCTGTGCCCTACGGTCGATACCTTCTGGTCGATGTCGCACGGGCGGTGCCACATGACTGGTGTGCTATGGTTCGGGGGCCCCCAAACAGTGTGGTGACCACACCGTGCGGTGAGTCGGTGGGGATTCGGGGTCACCGCACGGTTTTGGGACTGGAGTCCTTCTCCGAGAATGTCTCGGGCGACAGGGGCCTCCAGGGTCCCAAGACCGTGCGGTGGCGGACCGTGCGGTGAGGTCTTGGGGGGCTTCGAGGTCACCGCACGGTCTGTCACCGCACCGCTTCGGGACTCCAACGTGGTGCCCTACGGCTGGTGCCTGATGATTGGTGCCCTGTGCCCATGGTCCTCCTCCTCCTCCTCTTCCTCCTCCTCCTCCTCCTCCTCCTCCTCCTCCTCCTCCTCCTCCTCCTCCCCTCCTCCTCCTGCTCCTCCTCCTCCCTCCTCCTCCTCCTCCTCCTCCTCCTCCTCCTCCTCCTCCTCCTCCTCCTCCTCCTCCCCCTCCTCCTCCTCCTCCTCCCCCTCTTCCTCCTCCTGCTGCCTGGCTGCTTCCCACGTGGTTGGGGTGTCCTCTTCGGTGCCCCGTGCCCGACGCACGGCCTGCACGCGCCGGGGAGCGCCAGCAAACAAGAACAAGACCTGCTGCCGGGGGGCCCACGCGCCAGCCCTGGGGATGCGTTCGCCCCCCGGAGGAGGAGGAGGACTGGGAGGAGGAGGACTGGGAGGAGGAGGACTGGGAGGAGGAGGAGGAGGAGGAGGAGGAGGAGGAGGAGCCGACGCGTCGCGTGCAGGTGTGGCAGGAGGCCAGCGTGGGCAAAAGCAGGTGTGATACAACACAGGCGCGACCAAAAAACACGTGTGCTCAAAAAAACAACAGGCGCGATACATAGACACGGGTGTGGCACGGAGAAGACAGGTGTGATTCAACAAACACAAGTGTGTCACACTTGTTCTTGATCACAAGTATTGTATCACACTTGTTGTTCTCACACTTGTTGTTATCCCACTTGTTGTTTATCACAGTTTGTAGCACACTTCTTTTTATCACACCTGTTCCACCTCATTGCAAGGGTTCGGAGCTTGAGAGACCTCCTGCCCTGAAACGTCGATCTAGCGAATTGGCCGTCTCTTCGGTTGGCGAGAGGGCGCCGCGGCCGTCATTTTTTTGCGAGCCCAGGTCCGTCGGGATCGGTCCCAGGCCGGTTGCACCACATGGAGGTTTACTACAGGGAGGTTTGTCCACCGCCGAAGGGTGTTGGTGCCACGTGTATTCTAAGCTGGGCTCCTCGGGAGCATCCCCTCTGCCTCCTCTGGAGTGGCCCTCTTAGTCGATAGCTCCCCCCCCCGCCCGACCAGCCACGCGAAGCACATGCAATGCGCGGCGAACAAAAGTGACGACAATGAAGTGCAGATCGAAATTAAAGCAACGCAATGCAAATACGCGTTGTGCAAATTATCACGAAACAGCGCAGCGCAGGGCAGTGCAAGGCAACCCATTCCAACGCAGAGCAAACTCAGCGCAAATAAAGGCACGTGACTACCATGCGGTGTAAATCGAAGCAACGCAAACGAACCCAACTTCCTGGCACATTGCGATAACAAATCATATCAAGTTACGACATGCACTGCAACGCCATGCAATATACCAAACGGCACAGCATTGTGAAGCATAACTGATTCAGCACGAATTGATGCAAACGCGATACCTGTGACTCTTTGACACCTTGCGTTCAGGCTATTAGACATCCTAGCTAGTCTGCATTGTGTAGTTTGCTTGGTGTTGGCCTCAATGTGCCCAAGGAGATACTCTGTGGGGGAATTCGCCTCGGTCTGGGCGAAGGAATATGGTTGGTATTTTGGCTCACCACGGGGCGAGGACTTTGGGCTGGCAGTTTGAGGCCAGGGGATGAGAATATCTGGTCGGCAGCTTTGGGCTAGGGGCTGATTCTTGGCACAAGCAGGCCATGGGGTGAGAGTATACGACTGGCAGTTTTAGGCCATGGGGTAAGGGTATCTGGCTCGCAGTCTCGGGCGACGGGTTGAAACTGTATAGGTGGCAGTTTGAGCCATGGCGTGGGAGTATATGGCTGGTAGTTTGAAGTTAGGGGGAAGGGTATCTGGCTAGCAGCTTGGGCCCAGGCGGTGAGGACACCTGGCTGACATCTCTGGATCCCGGGCTGAGGATATCGACTGCCTGCGGCAAGTTCCGCCAATCGTGCCAGCGCAGCGCTCCGTGTGGCGACGCTTCAAGCGCCGCCCAACAGGCGGTGACATGCGGCACCTTTCGTCTTTCATGGCTCGAAGGGCTGACATGGGGCCTATCTTTACCGTGTTGGTGCTGCCTCGGGGTCTTGGGAGGCCATCTCAGGGCCTTCTTACGGCCATATTGGACCGTCGTGTGGCCCTCTCGGGCCGACTTCGTGCCATCCCCCCCTCCCCGGGGCTAGAGGGCCATCTCCCTAGTCAAAGACCCACAGATGTCCTTTGGTCGTGCTCATGTGTTTTACCTACATGCAAGGTCTCGACGCCTTCCCGCAGGCGATTTGGAGGCCAGTTGGGGCCCCTCTGGGGTCGGGTGGCATCTTCTTGGCGGCTGTTGGACGCGTGCCTGTTGATTGAGGCAATATTGGGCCATTGGTGGCCTTCCTGTGCAGTCGTGGGAGGCTTGGAAAGTAATGGAGAGGCGTTGGGTCGCGCATGGAAAAGCGAGAGGAGGGGAGACATGTGTGATCATGTATTGGAGCCTTACCACCAAACATCATTTGCCATCCTATTGCGCCGCAACGTGCCAGGGGGCACGGCGGCAGATCGGGCTGGCAGTCTTGAGCCAGCGGCGCTGATGATATCTGGCCTGCAGCTTCGAGCCAAGAGGTGGTGATGCTAAGGTGGCATTTGTGGGGCAGTTGGTGAGGATATCTTGTAGCTGGCTTGCAGCTTCGAGCCAAGAGGTGGTGATGCTGAGTTGGCATTGGTGGGTCGGTTGGTGAGAATATCTTGTAGCCAGTCGTTGGCTGGAGGGGGGGGGTCATGTCTGCAGTTCTGGAACAGGGATGTGAATATATCTTGCTGGCAGATCGGTTTCGGGCCATGGGGTGAGGGGACCTGGCTGGCAGTCGTTGGCCGTGGGGTGAGGGTATCTGGCTGGCGAGGCCAGGAGGTGAGGATGTATGGCTGGCTGCGTTACGCCTGTTGGTGAAGATATATGGCTGGCAGTTTTTCAGGCCCGGAGGTGAAGACGTCTGGCTGGCAGTGTTGGTCGAAGGGCTGCTGGCTTGCAGATTTAGGCCGTGGGGGTAATGATATCTCGCTGGCAGCTTTGGGCAAGAGGGGTGAGGAGGTCTGATGTGTACGTTTGACAAGGGTTGAGGATATCTGCCTGGCAGTTTGGGGTGGGGCCAGGGGCGACGAACTCTGGCTGGCAGGTTCCGCACCAAGTGGCGACGGTGGTTTGTCACCTCTACCTTGTGGGCATTGCGCGTGTTGGACTCGTTTACATTCTCGCCCCTCGGCGTGAGGCCGGTTGCGGACACAGGGGGTGGGCTGCCCTGTGGGTGTGAGCGCGGACGGCGGCCCCGTACACCAAGCTTACGCCTACAACAGCGCTGCCCTGACGTGTGCTCTGGGTAGGAGCCAAGATCTTGCAGTGTTTGACTTGCCTGGCTGGTAGGATCGCTCTCATGCCTCCTGCGCTTGTCTTTGTCCATATTCCACCCGGGTCTCCTTGTGGTCAGCTTGGCGTTGGTGCGCTGTCGTTCCGATGGGTATTGGTTTGGCTTCGCTTGGCCGTCAACATTTGTATGTCGGTCAGGTCTTTTTTTGTCAGCCAAGCGTTTCGTTAACAGGATTCCATATGCAGCAACGACGGATGATTGATGTGGATGTCGATGGGCCGGTGGAGGGGGAGGAGGACACTTGAGGCTAGGTTGACGAGGGCACAAAGGAAATCATAGATACCACAGGTGTATGCTTGATTCTGGCTGTGCGCAAGGAGCAAGGAGGAGGCGGGATGAAGCCCGACGAGGAGAAGGATAAGGACGCACGGAGCAACACGTGGCCAGCAGAACTCGACACAGCACGGGGGGGTGGAAGTTCGCAACCGACCGCAGTCCTTGTGTGCGAATCTGGGCAAAGGGGGGCATCATGGTTCCGGAGGAAAGACACCAACAAGCCAAGAGCAAAGCAAACTATCAAAATGCGCAGAGTTGAGTGCCCCAGGGCTGCCCGCCCAATACCGCTTGCGAACGCGTAGCTGCGTCACGTGAGCTCGCCTGGATCACCAATCATTGACGCCCTTGGTCTGCACACGTGAAATGCGAGCAGAGCGCCACGCAGCCTCCATGACTTCAACCCGACGCGACGGCCTTTCTGATCCGAGTCGTCGTCCCTCTACCCGCAACTTCGGGCTCTTGCCACCAGTCGCAGTGGCAACAATCGCCTTCACTCTTCAGGTAGCAAGTGTTTAAACATTCTCTCTTATATCTGCTGGCACGTCTGGTACTCCCACGGTGATGGACGGGAACATGAGGGCCGAGGCGAGTACGAAGAGAAGGAGGAGAGTTGCAGCTTGGCCCCCCCCAAGAGGCCATCAGCGGCTTCCGCGCAGCGAGGGCACCACCTGGCGACCGCCGCGTTCTGCGCGCGCAGGCGCGGGGCTTGACCAGAAATCCAACGGCGGCCAGGGGAGTTGACCTGAAGTCAATTTCCCTTTCCACTTAGTCAAGGTCCTCGAGGATGCTTTGCCATCACTTCTGGACGTGCTTCGAAAACTGATGGCAACGGAGCCTAGGCAAGTTGCAAAGGAGTGCTTGAGCAACTGTGACCAGAAGAAACGATGGCGTTTGCAAGCAGGCTTCACAAACAGTGCTCGCGCTTAGGGCACCTCACTTGGGTTGTACGTCAGGCGCTGGCTCAGTTGTGTGCAGCTGGCCGTTCGCGCACTTGTGCCCTTTAGGTTGGTGCCCCATGGTCACGTACTCTGTGCTCCCCTATTCTGAGCAGTCGTTCGTTCGCGTGCTGGTGCCCTCTGGGCTGGTGCCTTATTGCCCCCTGTTGCGTATTGTCCGTTCTCAAGCTCGCCCCCTTCTTGCCCTGGGAAATTGGCAGCTCATACTCCGACCGCCCCTTTCGCGCCAACATCTGTATGAGCCTTGGGACACTCCACTACGTGCTGAAGGCACGGTTGTAGACAACCGCTCTTGCAGACACCAGCCACGAGCAGTGCGTGCCCTGGGCCCAGAAATTGTTCTGTTACCCCCCTCGCGGGTATCTCTCGTTACCCGGGTCAAACCCCCCGACCCGGGTAACAGTGACGATCGTCTTGGGGGGGGCCTAGACCCCCCCCCGATACGCAGGTTCCCGAAGGCATGTTATGTTGTGCTTAGTGATGCTCGAGGTGGGACTCGAGCACACGTTGCGTTGCTCGCTCTTTTGCGATTATGTTTGGGCCCAGCGTGTTGTTCTACATGCGTATGGTGCTCGCAGGTGTTGTGGTGTTCGCAGGCACGTTGCGGCGATCGCAGGTGAATGTAGTGTCCACGAAAGAGTGGGGGCCACGAGCGGGAGGAGACCGGCAACGACGAAAGGACGAGGGAGGTAAGGAACAGCACGGTTGAGGCAAGGGCCCGGCACGCACAAGCCGTTGCAAGCGCGGTGGCGGTTTCTGTCCTGTCGCCGCCGCGGCCGCCGTCGCCCCCGTCGTCATCCTCGTCGTTCGTCGTCTTCGTCGCCGCCGCCGCCGTCGCTGCCGCCCCGCCGACGTCGTCGGCGTCGTCTTCATCGTCGTCATTGTCGTTGGTCGTCGTCAGTTGTCGTCGTCAGTCGTCGTCGTCAACTTCGTCGTCATCGTCGCCGCCGTCGTCGTCGTCGTCGTTGTTTTCCGTCTTCGTCGTCGCCGTCGCAGCATGGATCAGGGGGGCTTGGACTGGCGACGGGCCCCGCTTCCGGGGGAAATCGCAGACTTCCGCCGCTGAACGAGGCGGCACCGGCCGCATTTTGGGGAGGGCACCTCCCCCGATCCATGGATTTGCCGACCGCGCGCCAAATCCATTGATCGCTAATCCATGTTTGCGCGCCCCCGACGACCGTCCGGCGAGCGGACAGCTTGCGGCAGGGCCCTTCAGAGGAAGCCAGCGCGGATGCCTTCCGAGACGCGGGGCGACTCCAGCGGGCCACACACCAGTTGGATGGAGGAGATGTTGTGAGTCTCTGTCGCGGCCGCGTGGCCGATGCCTCTGGCCAGGTTCACGTCACCACACCTCTGGCAAGGTTGTCGTCGCCACACTTCCGATCCGCTCGATCAGCGGGCAACCTCCTTCCAGGCCAGGATGGCACTAGTCTTGGGGCGCCTGCCCTTTTGGACCCTCTTGAGGCGAGCTCGCAAATTGGACAAGTAGGTGCGGCCATCACGGCCCTCGCCCGACGGCACGCCGAGGCATGGCGCCTGCAGCGTGCGCGACGCACCAGCACCGGACCAGACGACGCACACCTGGCAGCAGACGGTGGGCCCAGCACGCCGTAGCCGATGACCGTCGACAGCAGGGCGCGCGTGGCCCACTGCCCAGCGCGTCTCCCCGCGGCGGCTCGGTGTCGCCAGGGTTCTCCAGGCACGGCGCCGCGACGAGGGCCCGCATGGCGAACTGGGTCGCCGCAGACAGGGCCACCGCCCGCGCACCCACGTGCTGGATGATCCGACCGCAGAAGCTGGGCCCAGGACGGCCCTTCGAGCTTCGAGGTCGACCTGCGACACCGGCGGCAAATCACGTGGCCACCTTGCCGAAGGCGCACGAGACGGTGGCGCACCACCGCCACTGCAGGGGTCTTGGGCGCCGACGCTGACGACGATAGCGACGATTCCGATGACGACGAACTCGACGACGACGACGACGCTGACGATTCAAACGACGACGACGGCTTTGACGGCGACTCCGATGCTGGCGACGGCGACGAACACGACCACGGCAGCGACGATTCCGACGACGATCCCATCGACTCCAACGGCGACGCCGATAACCCAGAAGATGATGTCGATGAGGACGGTTTCGACGACGCCTCACATGATGCCGACGAAGATTGTGGTGCTCGCGCAGTGGCATTCTTGTTGCAGGCGCACGCTGGTCGCTCGCGGGCCATTGCGGTGCTCGCATGTGCCTTGCTAGTGCTCTCAGGCGTTGCGTTGCGCGCGCGATCGAATCGCAGGCCACTGTTGTGCCCGCGTGCGTAGGTTGATTGCTGCCCGGGCGCGTACTATAGCGATCGCAGTGCGTCTCCGCTCCGACGAACTCCACCCCACCCAAGCGCTACCGCTACCCGAGGCCCAGACATTCCCCACCCCCCACCCCCTCAGGTAACGACCGCTACCCGCCAGGATAAAAGACAGATCTCTAAGGTGGTCCAAGATGGCTCCAAGATGGCCCACGATGGCACCCCAGACGGCCGCAATTGTCTCCAGGGCAGCCAAGATGGCCAAACATAAGTGGCCCCAGAGAAGTCCCCAAAAGGGTCCAGAAGGAGCCCCGAGTGGCCCCGAAAAGGCAAGCATTGTTAAACTTCCTGGCGGGCAGCCCCATCTGGCACCCAAGCCCCTCGCCCACACGCGGCGTCGGGTCCAGCCCCGCACTGGTGGAAGTGCGTCAAGCCATCATTCGGGATTTGCACAGTATGCTACAAGCGTAGCTACGCTGAAGTGCCCTCCGCAACGGAAGCCCTCACTGGCCATCATGCCGTTTTCAGCCCAATTGCCGCAACCCCTCGTCTGAACAGGATTTATACCGTTTGCCACGATTCTGATTGCTTGATATCTATATCCAGCCCTTGTGGTTGCATATGCCAGGACCAAAGAGCCAGACACCTTCTGAAAGACTGCGGTGGGAATTTTAGAAGTTCGCACAACAGAAATTATCCCAGTGCGACCCTATCTGGGAGTTGGAACATCTAGGCAAGCAACATCTATATCTAAACCGACAGCTACATCAACATCTACACCTGCATCTACATCCACATCAACACTAACAGCGAGACTCACATCTACATCTACCTACAGCTACACCTACACCTACACCTACACCTACATCGACATATACACCTACACCTACAACTACATCTACATCTACATCTACAATTTCGCATTGGTTTTGTGTTTGCTTTGCATTGCCTTGCCTTTGATGTTGCTTTTGCTTTTGGTGTTGCTTTTGTGTTGAATGTGTTCTTGCTTTTGGTAGCTAAGCGAAGCTAAGATGAAATAAGCTAAGCTACGATGAGATAAGCAACGCTAAGCTAAGGGGACGTCACTGGGGGAACCACGGGGCGGATCCTGGGGGAACCGCCCGGGGCGATTTACACTGCCCGGCCCTTTAAGCACACACGGTAAGAACCCTTCTAGGCAGAGCCTAGGTAGGGAACTTTGGAAGCGCATGTTTACCAGAGTGCACCTAGACCCCGCCAAAGGCGACGCTAAGGTGCCAGACGAATGTTTGCCGCTCTCCAGTTTGTTCTAGTCTTTCAGCCAGTTTAGCGTGCGTGTGCTGTCCGGATACCGCCACACACGTTTCAGCCAGTGTATTATTTCAGTCTCGAGCTAGCTCCGAGCCAGGCGCACATCAAACAACTTCCTGGTGTGCGCGATGTATCTGTATATATACGCATACGAGTGTATATATATATATATATATACATACACGTGCAGGTATGTATGTATGAATGTATGTAAGTATGTAAGTATGTAAGTATGTAGGTATGTATGTAACCATGTATGTATGTATGTATTTAGGTAGGTAGGTAGGTACGTGTGTACGTGTGTATGTATGTCTGTATGTATATTTTAGAGGGAGAGCACGCATGTACTCGCCGGGTCGGGTTTCGAAGCGCCCCAAGCGACCCAAGCGACGCCAAAGATCGCCCCAGAACGGCCCAAAACGAAGGCTTCGAGACGGCCCCACGACGGGCCAGACAGGCCCCCAGACGGCCGCAAGGCCCATGATGTTCTTGAGAAGCCCCGAACACACAATCCGAGTAGTGCGGAGGTCGTTGAAGGAAACCATGGTTGGCAGCAAGATGGCTCCGAGCAGCTCCCAGAGGCCTCCAGGAAGCCACCAGGAGGCTACACGAGGCCCCCAAGATGCTCCCAATAGGCCTGCGAGAGGCCTCCAAGAAGCCCACAAGAGACCACAAGAGGCTTCCAGCAGGCTTCACATCCATAGCGAATCCATCTTGAAGGAATTCACACCCTTTCCGCGTGCGTAGACGGGTGGAAGTCTTGCGTCGCAGGGGCAGGGGGAGGCGTAAACCTCTCCCTCAGCCATTGAGTCGCACGTCCCTATTTCTTACCACTGGGTTTCATGAGCGATGGCGGCGTTCTGTCGCACCTCGATTCTACCACTTAGCAGAACCGCGTTGACGGCGCATGACTATCCGTTACAATGTGTGGTCTGCCCTGGCCCGCCAAAGCATCAGTGGTGATAGTACCGGGTACTAGACCAGAGAGAGAAGCAAGGCAAGGTTTGGTCTTAGACAAATGTGGTGACATGCGTTCTTGCGCACACACTGAAGCGGCTTAGCACAACGCACAAATTGTCGCTCTTTTCGGAAATAGAGGTCGCGTATGCACTTGATAAGCGCGACTCGATTCGCAAAGTTTGAATTCGGCTTGCCCTGGAGTAGGAACCCGATGCGTTAAAACGGTCTGCGGCTGTATGAGGCACAAGAAAGCAGATTTACACGTGACCGAGTTTTCAGCGCAGCTGGTTACGTGTTGTAAACATGTGTGTTGTTCGGTTGGGCTTCAACCGTACGAGTAGAGCTATGTTTGATTGTTCTGTTCACTGTGACACCGCGATGCGCCCTGTGTGGGCCCAGCTTGTGGCCGGAAAGGATACGAAAGTTCTGACCACAGAAACGAAAGCAACATAGCGTCATGATTCTTGCGATTCGTTCATGATGAACGTTCTGTCGCCACAGGTTACGACCTACGGCCAGGACATGGCGGTTACCAATTGCGAGTTCCAGCGCGATGGTTCCGACAGGGTCCCAGGGGCAAGGGGCCCGCACCATGTTCCGCTATAGTCTCCGAGTTGTGATATCGTCACGTCGGCGAGGCTTACAGGGGCGCCGCCAGTGGGCAGCAGGCCCCTGCAGACATGCGACATACTGAGGATGGTACCCGCTGTCCGCCCATGGGCCTGCTGGTTTCTACTTCAGGCCAGGTGCCGCAAACATGACGCCCTGAGTCCAGACCAGTTCATGATTGGATCCGGGCATGGTTGGAGATCGATTGCAGACTGTTGTTGCGAGACCATATATTTGAACACCTTGCGATGGGCCTGCTCTCTGTTGGAAGCCAGTTAGCATATCCGTGCATGGATTTCTCGCGTTGGATCCAGAAGCCCAGCATGCTGGAGACGACCACAGGGTGCTGCAGGCACCCTCGTGGCCCTCTCGAGCGGGAAAGCTGAGGAGCCCCCCCAATGTTGCCCCGAAAGTTCGTCGAGCCGCGGATGGCATCTCCACGATCGGACTGCGCTTCAAGAGGTGAGGGTGCCGCCGCCGCTGAGCGTCGGCCGCGTGCCATCGGCCTGGAACTGCAGCGCCCCAGATCGCCCGACAGGAAGTCCAGGGGCAGACCAGGGGACAGGGTCAACAGACTGGTCTTTCACAGCTTCCCCCCGACCTTGACGGCCTGCGGAGCGCAGGTACCCGATCCAAGAGCTCAGGGCCAAGTCTAGCCACGGCACAGAAGCCTGACTCGATCTGGTTCAGTGATTCTGTTTCTCGAATCGGGCAGTTCCTATAGTCATGTCCCCGTCGTAAATTCCCCAATCAGAGCTTGCCTCTGTAGGGGTCCTAGCGGATTCATATGGTTCGGTTAGGTTTGCCGCTGATTTTCGCCACGCCCGGGTGCCCGGGGGTGCCCGGGTGCCCTCACGCGGCCCAAAACGCGAAGAATATGGTTACGAACGGCCCCTCACACATTCGAGCTATCAAAATGCATTGAATACTCCCGTAACCAAAATCGTTCCGGAACGATGCTCGCATAACCAAATCGTAACCATATCTTCAGTTTTCGTAGCCAAATCATAACCAAACTACATTATCCGTAACCAGACCATAACCCAATCGTAACCAAGTCATAATCAAACCGTGCGTATATCGAAACGACCATGTTCGACATTGCCGATGGGGCTGAAGAGGGGGCGGGCGAAGCAGGAGGGAGTCTGCCCAAGCTGGTACATTGTGGTTTCCATAATGCTGGCTAAAGGCTTCACGAACAGCCCCAAGTGTTGGCTTAGCGTGGCCATGGAGCCTCCAAAATACGCCCCTGACGGTGCGAAATCAATGGATACGCAGTGTGCCTGTCAGGCAGATGTTCGCTGTATCGCCTAATTACTCGCCCCCGATGGGCCTTTGATGCCCCAAGATGTTGCAAGAGATGGCTGAACGTCCCTTCCCCCCGAGCAAATAATCAGAAACACACATGAATAAGGAGAGGGAGTCCTCCTCCTCCTCCTCCTCCTCGTCATCCTCGTCCTCCTGCAGTCTTCCGTCTTCCTCGTCCTCCTACTCCTCCGTGCCCCATAAGGAGCTCCATCTATGGTCTCACTGGGTGCTTCCGCATGGCGCCGACATCCCCATCTCAACATACACCTCACAGTGATCACGCACCGTTCGGAGGTCGACCTATTCCCCCAGCGGGTGCGTCCGCTTTGCCGTCGCCGTGTCGGCATTCCCCTCTCGAGGATCGTGCCTCATAGGGAGCTCTACCTATGGCACCAACAGGTGCGTCCGCATGGTGCCGCAGTCCTCATTTCGGCATACTCCTCATGAGGATCGTGCCTCATGGGGAACTCCAACTATGGCCCCAGCGGGTGTGTCCAGATGGCGCCGCCGTCCCCGTGTCGGCACACTTTCATTAAGGATCGCGCCCCTCATGGGTCTCTGACTATTGCCCCAATCAGTGCGTCCGCATGGCGCCGCCGCTACCAAATCTGCCCCGTAGGGCGTTCCACTGGGAATTATTCCGCGTATACGCTTTCCCCGCCAATTGCGGCACAACCCTCACGCGAGGCGTGCCAAATGGGAACCCTCACCTGGCCCACTGGTTGCGCTGGCATGGCGTCCCTGCCCATTTCGGCACACCCCTCACGCGGAGCGTGCCCGTCAGGGAATTCCACCAATGGGCTGAATGGAGGTGCTCGCACGGCGCTGCCGCCCCCATGTCGGCGCACCCCTTACGTGGATCGTCTCCTCTGGGACTTCCACTTCTTGCCCTGTTGGGCGTGACCACATGTGCTCCCCGTCGATTTCAGCACTTTCCTCACAAGTATCATGCCCCACAGGGAGTTCGGCGCCCTCCTGCCCACCTCTTCGGCAGCTCCTGATCCTGACTGCCCAGCGGCGCGCATCGTAAAAAGAACATGCCGTGCTCCACGCCACATGCAGCTGCATCAAGCCTGGCTCTTCGCAACACTAATTATCGAAGACGCCTACGGCGAATCACCGCCGCCCCCTGCCTTTGTGGAAGCGTCTATGTGGCCGAACGTTGAGGCCAGACCTGCCAAGCCATCGGACCATGTGTTCCCCGAATCGGTTTGGAAAGCCTTCGGGGAACACGTGGGCGTCTTGATGGTCATCGTCGCCGTCTTGGAGGCCTCTTGGGCGATCTTTCGGCGATCTTTGGGGGCTCTTGGGCCGTCTCGGGCCGTCGGAAGGCCGAAAAAAGGGAAATGCCCAAATCCATCAAAAACCTTGGGAAAATCAGTGATTTTGGCATCTTTTGGCCTTCCTGGAGGCCCTCTTGGGGGCCTCTTGGGCCCTTTTGGGCCAGCTTCGAGCCAACTTCGGCCATCTTGGTGGGTTCCTGGCACGTCTGACGCCGTCGGGAGCCGTTTTGGGGGCCTTTCTGGGCCAACGGGGGACCCTCTTGGGGCGCTCCAGGGCCGTCTTGGAGGCCATCTTGGGCGTCTTGGAGGCCATCTTGGGCGTGTTGGAGGCCTCTTGGGCCCGTCTTGGGGCCCTCTAGGGGCCATCTTGGAGGCCACTTGGGCCATCATGGGGCTCTCTTGGGGGCCTCTTGGGCGATCTTGGGGGCTTCTTGGGCCGTCTTGAGCCGTCGGAGAGCCGAAAAGGCGCAAATGCCAAAATCCTTCAAAAACCAATGGGAAATCAATGATTTTGGCCTCTTCGGACTCTCCTGGAGGACCTCTTGGAGGCCTCTTGGGCCGTCTGGGAGGCCTCTGGGGGGCCTCTTGGGCCGTCTTGGGCCGTCTTGGACTCTCTTGGGCCGTTTTGGAGGCCGTCTTGGACCATCTCGGGCGGACTTGGAGGCCATCTTGGGCCATCTTCGCGATTTTTTGATGATGTCCCGAGCGAAACGGCCGTTTTTGGAGGATTTTTTCTGGTCGTTGAGCACGTTTGGGGATTTTCCGGGTGGCCGGCGGGTTCTGCCGGAGCCCACTGGGGAGTTCTTTTGGAAAAAGAACCAAAACCAAAACCAGCTCATCCAGCACGCCGTGCACCCCTGCAAGCAGGGGGCGGCGGATTCAGCTGACTACGGCAAGTCCCGCCACCGCAACTGGGTTGTGGGTTACAGGCCTCTTGGATGTTCGCTAGGGTATCGTGGGAGGCCTCTCGGGGGCCTGTTGGATGCAGTTAGCAGGCCTCTTGGGAGCCGTCTGGGGGCCTCTTCAGGGGCTTCATTTTGGCCTCTTGGGGGGGCCTCTTGGGGGTCTCTTGGGGCTTCCTGGAGGCATCTTTGGGCCTCCTGGGGTATTGCAGGGGCTTTGCAGGGTATGGTCTTTGCCTGGTCTTTGCATGGTGGCCTTTGCATGGTCTTTGCAGGGTCTTTGCAGGGAGGGCGGTGCAGTGACCGGTCCGCGTCCCGCGGACGGGGGGCCCTTTACACGACTACAGACTCCAGAAACCTTGCCAGACAGCACTTGGGCACATCATCCGTTTCCACGACGGACCCCATCTAGCCAAATCGTAGCCAAATCGTAACCAAATCGTAACCGTTTTGGAACGTAACCAAACCGTACCCAAGTCTGATATAGCGTAACCAGACCGTAACCAAATTTGAGCTTCCCGTAACCAAATCATAACCAAATCACACTTCGTAATCAAATTTTGCGCAACCGAATCAAAACAACGCACCCCTCTCATAAAAAATTGGACCAACAAGAGGACGATTTGGTTACGCACGTGCACGCAACAAACCATTATAAATTACAATACTTTGGGCGCTCGATTTGGTTACGACGTCTTGCCTTCTAGGGGTGCCCGCGTGCCCGGGCGTGCCCGGGCGTGCCCGGGCGTGCCCGGGCGTGCCCGGGTGCCCAGGTGCCCCGGTGCCCAGGTGCCTTGTAGCCCTAAAGCCCTAGAGCCCTAATAGCCTCATAGCCTTATAGCCCCAGAGCCTTATAGCTCTATAGCCCTATAGCCCTAATAGCCCTATGCCCCGCATAGCCCTATAGCCCTAATAGCCCTATAGCCTCATAGCCTTATAGCCCTATAGCAGTATAGCCCTATAGCCCAATTGCCCTAAAGCCCTATAGCCCCATAGCCTCATAGCCCTGCAGCCCTATAGCCCTGCAGCCCTATAGCCCTATAGCCCCATAGCCCGATAGCCTTTAACAAAAACCTGATTGTTTTTTTCTCTGGTATCGTGTCACCCCTTTTGTTCACAATGTTTTCCCGACGTCTATGTATATGTAAGTTTCCCAGCAGCTCTTCTTGGCCATCGGAGGTCGGGGGGTGAGATCGGAGTGGGACAGAGAGCCCCGCACCAGGAAATCGGTTTCGGTTTCGTGTTCGTGTCGTGCGTGCGGGCGAGGCGAAGTTGTGTGGGCCCACAAGAGGAATGACCCCGCTGTCGCTAGAGCGATTCGAATGCAGTGGACCGCCCCTCCGCCCCCGGTGTGCGCGCGGTGGCACTGGGTGTCCCGCCGTGGTGTCATGTGGTGTCCCGTTGGTGTTCCGTCAGCGGTGGGCGGGTGGTGGCCCGGGGTGTCCCGCCTTTGTATCGATAGTGAAGTTGATCGTGAGATCGAAAATGGGATCGCTAGAATGGGATGGATAGTGAGATCAAAAGTGAAATCGACAGTGAGGGTGATTAGGACATTGGTTGTGAGATCGATAGGGAGATCGAAAGAGAGATCGATAGAGGAGTCGATAGTGAGATCGGTAGTGAGATCGATCGTGATATCGAAAGCGAGGTCGATAGTGAGAACGATACTGACATTACACCGCAGCCAACATCGCCATCACGCGTCGTCGCTAACTCGAGGGCGTGTCACCAGCATAGTCATCACCAAACCCATCGCATGTGCCAGCACTTGGCTACCAATTCTGCGAGGGGGTATTGGGCCCTCCAGTCAAGATGCAGCCACCTCCGCTCGATCATCCCTCTTCTTCCGAGAGATCCCGAACGCGCCTTCCTTCCCTGGTGCCGCTGCTGGAGTGGGGGCAGGTCGGTCGCCAGTCGCAGGTCTGGCTGCGCACCCCCGCTGGCTGGCGGGTCGCATCCGCGCACGTCTCTTTCATGCACGAGGCCTGAGCCTCCACTGCGAGGGCTCCACGAGCGAAGCCGGGGCGCAAACTGCTGAGCGACGGGGCGCCAGCACGAGAAAGAGTTATCTGCGGACCACACGATCAATCCCTCTCGCACTCCATTCATCATCAGCAGCATCGCCATCATCATGATCAAAATCTTGCTGACCATCACCCTCTCGACATCACCATCCTCATTGTACCAGCGTCAACCTCGGAATTATCATCATCGCACGGACACGCACATCGGCCGACCGCTCGTTGTCTGGAGTCGGTGCCGCTGGTGACCGCAGACAGGGTGAGTAGCAAGGGGTGGTTGGCAGAGGGAGCCAGGGGTGGAGAGCTGGGAGCTGGAGAGTCCAGAAGAGGCGGCCGGGCGTGGGCCAAGACGATGGCACACACGGAAAGCCCGCGAATGATGCGCCGCGCGTGACGTGAAGCGCCTCTCCGATGCGCAAAGCGGGCGCGCCTCTTGGCCACCGAGGGGTATCCAGAGGCGCCTCTTCGGTGCGGTGCAAAGGATCCCCTTGCTGCGTCACGCTACGTGCGAGAGGATCGAAAGGCACAGAGAGGATGGGGACGAAAACCGACAAACATTCTTGCCCGTTTTGAACAGGACTCGGGACTCGTTGTCGGCGTCGCCGCGGGCATTGCCCACCTTGGAAAGAAGTCGCCTGCCCCACAGTGGCCGCTGTCGTTTTGGGACAACACTTGCAGTTGGGCATCGTGCCCATTGGTTCTATACCCATTTCGGGCTTGTCTCCCCCTGCATCTTCCCCTTCGCCGCCCCCTGCTCCGTAGCCGGCTTGGCTCGAGGCGGAGGGCAAGCGCAGCCGAGTCGCCGCAGCGCCTCCTCGAAAAAGCACCGAATGACCAGCCCGGCTGCGGCGGGGATGGCCCCGACGAGGCTGCCGTCGCCCCGCGGCCCCGCGCCTGCAGGCCCGCGCAGGCCGCTCTCTCAGGCGGGGCTCAGCTCCCTCCTCGCCTCGCCGCGCCCCGGCGCCGGCGCCGGCGCCGGACGGCGCGCGCTGCACAGGCCCAGCGTGGAGGACCTGCTGGCCGACGTGCTCGGCGGCGGGGCCGCGGCGGCCAAGCGCCGCCCCAGTGGCGGCCCGAGCTGGGACGAGGACGAGGAGGACGCTCCCGGCGGGAGCGGCAGCCCGCACCCGTGCGGCGAGGCGGGCCTGGGCGACTCCGCGATGAGCCACGACCTGCTCCGCCTCATCAACGAGGCCGCCGACCGCGCCCTCAGCGCGGCCGCCGTGCCTCCGAGGCGCCCCTCGGCCGCGCGGCAGCCCGCTGAGGCGGGGCAGCCCGCCCGCGCGGGCGGCGCCGCCGGGCCCCTGGAGGCGCGGGCGGCGCCCCCGCAGGCGCCGCCGCGGCCCCGAGGAGGGCCTGCGCCACCGAGCGCGGCGGCCACGGCGGCCGCCCCGTGCGTGCACGAGCCGGTGGCGGCGAGGTCGGGCGGCGGGATCGATGTAGGGATCCACCGCTCGGGGCCTCCAGACGGGGTGGTGGCCACACCGTGCGGTGAGTCGGTGGGGATGCGGGGTCACCGCACGGTCTGGGGACTCGGGCCGTTCTCCGAGGACGTCTCGGGCGACAGGGGCCTCCGGGGTCCCAGGACCGTGCGTTGAGAGACCGTGCGCTGAGGTCTTGGGGGATTTCGAGGCCACCGCACGGTCTGTCACCGCACCGTTTCGGGACTCCCAAACCGCCCCTGGACCCAGGCCCATCCTGGGCCACGGAGTGGTGCGTATATCTCCCTGGCCAAGTCAGGGGGGGCGTACACACCGCCAGCTCGATCCCGTCGCCCTGCAAGGGGAGAGTCTCCAGCTCCCGCGTCACCTTCGGGCGTGGAAGGCCGGAGCGCTGGGGCCGACGCTGGCGGGGCTGCCACGGCCGACTCGGCGGCGTTCCTGCGGCACCTGGAGCGGTGCCGCGATGCTGCTGTGGCGGCTGGCGATCTCGCGACTGCGCAGGCGTGTGCGGACGCCATCCGCGCGGAGCAGGCCGAGGCAGGGCCCAGCGGCCGCCGGCCCAGTTGCTGCGCCTCCGAGCCCCAGTGCGTCCCCGCCCCGAAGGACGCCGCCGAGTGCCGCACCCCGCCGCGCGAGCCCCAGCGGCGCGTCCCGAAGCGCAGCGCGAGGACGCCCCGCGGCTGCGGGCCCGCGGCGCGCCCAGCGCGAGCTGGCGCGGGGAAGGCCACTCCGGGCAGCGCGTCGCAGGCGGAGATCGACGGCCTCCTGACTGCGCAGCCGGGCGCGCCCCGGGGTGCGGGGCTGCGCCGCGCGCCGCCCGCCAATGGGGGCAGCGTGGCGGAGAGCGCGGGGGATACCGACGACGAGGGGGCCTCAGGTGCGGGTGTGGAGGCCAAGCGGCCGGCCAGGCTCGGCTCCGTCCAAGTGAGCGGCAAGGGAGTGCGCGACCTTTTGGCCACCGCCGCGAATTCCCGGGCGGGGCGTTTGGGCGGGAGCCTCCTGCAGGTCACTGAGCTGGGCATCCAGCAGCCACAGACGTGCGTGCTGGATGGCTGGACAGCCGCCGTGCAACCAAGCGAGCTCCCCGAGGAGTGCCGCATGGCGATTCGGGACTGGGCGTGGGGCAGGGTGAGCGGCGACCGGTGCATGCTCGTCGTGGACGCGCTCGGCGCTTCGGAGGCGGCGGCAGAGGACTCCCCCCACAGCGCCTCCTTCCGCAGCCTCTGTGCGCTGTGCGGCCTCGCGGGCGGCGAGTCGCTCTTCCACCGCGGAGGCTTGCGTGCGGCGGTGTTCGGAGCTTCTCCCGCGGCAGCCCTGCGAGCGGCGGTGGCGGCAGCACGCCACGAGGCGCAGGTGAGCGGGCCCATCACCCCAGAGGAGCTCGACCTCGGCCTGCGTTCCATCCAGATCGAGGCGATTGGCCGAAGGGACACCGTGGGCCGCGTCGCAGCCCAGGTCTGGCGCGAGCTGCTCGTGGCCTACGCAGAAGGGGCAGGCCCGAGTGCGCCAACGGCCCCCGCCACCCGCCTTGAGGCTGAACTGAAACGGTGCTTGCGGTCAGATTCGGAGCAGCTCGGCGAGGTTGCGGACCTTGATTCTTGCCGGGACAGCTTGCGGACGGCCTTGTCGGGCATGGCCCGGACGCTCCACGCGGACCTGGAGGAGCTGGAGATGCTGGGCCCTTACTGCATGCTGGGGGTGAGCCCAGAGGCTACGGACCAAGAGGTCAAGCGGGCGTACCGCGAGCTGTGCCTGCAGCACCACCCCGACAAGGGCGGCGAGACCTCGACATTCCAGCAGCTGCAGCAGGCCTTCGCGCAGATCCTCGATGACAGGAGGCGCGGAGTGCGGCCGACGCCCAGGAGGGCAGCCCCAGCGCCGCAGCCGCGCCGCCCACCAGAGGCGGAGCAGCCACGGCGCGCTGCTCGCCCCAGGGGCGCAGGCGCGCCAGCTGGCCACGCGGAGGGCAGTCCCAGCGAAGGGAGCTGTGCGCCGCCATCCGCGCGCGTCGAGGCCCAGGGTGCGGCCGACGCGGCGGCGGCAGAGGCCGCCACAGCCGAAGCGGCAGCGAGCGAGCGCACGGCGGAGGCATTGCGCGAGGTGGAGGAGCTGCAGTCTTGCGCGCTGGAGGCCGCCGAGCGTTGCTCGCTGGCGGCCGAGGCCGCGGCGGAGGCGGCAGACTTTGAGGCATCTCGTGTGAAGCCCCCCGAAGGACTGGAGCCCACATGGAGTGCGCAGGGCACCGCCGCTGCCGCCCAGGCCACGCCTGCAGATGCCTGCGCCGCGGCGGCGCGCTCGCTTGCTGACGCAGTGCGCACGGCCGCCGAGAGTGCTGACGCCGCGGGGGACTTGGTGGTACAGGTGTCGCGCAGGGCACTGTCCGCTGGCGGCCTGGCCGCTGACGGCGGCTCGGCGGAAGAGCTCGCGCAGGCGGCCATGCACTGCGCCATGCTGGGCGAGGGCTCGGTGAAGGCCGCTGCCGCCTGCCGCGATCTGGCCAGCGAGCTGCTCAAGACTCTCGAGGCTGTCGTCGCAGACCTGGACAGGAGCGAGCTTGGCCCTGACATCGAAACGGTCGCCCTGGGCATCCTCCGCTCTGCCGCGCAGCGCAGCGCGGAGGCGGCCGCCCACGCTGCCGATCTTGCAGCTGGCGCCGCCGGTGCTGCCGGGGAGGCCCTCGCTGCGGCGCGGAGGGCGAGCGGGCGGGAGCCCCCGCGGCGGAGCGGGCCACGCGGCGAGAGCCGCAGGGGCGCTGCAGCTCCCGAGGGGGACGGGTGCGCTGGCCAGCAGAAGGGCGAGGGCGGCGCCAGCGCGTCGCCGCCGCCGCTGCCACGCGTGGGGCCTGGAGTGCCAGGCGCCCAGCGCCGGGCACGCAGCGCGGCGGGAGCTGCTGCGGACAGCCCGCAGGGCGAGGCAGGCCGAGGCGGGGCGGCCGCCGCGGGCGGCAGCCCTGGGTCCCGGCGCCCGCGGGAGCGGCCGAACAGCGGCTGCGCCCGCGCGCGCGCGAGGCCGAACCGGGGCGAGGTGTTGCAGGAGGTGCGGCGCCTCAACGGCGAGGTGCTGGAGCTGCAGCGACGCATGAGGCGGCTCCTCTGCAAGAGCCCCCTGCTGCTGCCTCGGGTCAGCGTGGAGCAGAAGCGCGCCGTGTTCCTCGTCGTGGCGGAGCTGCTGGAGGACGCCGCGGGGCACGTCGCAAACGGGGCCACACCGCAGGAGGATCCGCTGCGTCGCCTGTCGCTGCTGCTTCCTGCGGGCGAAGAGGCCGCTCCTGGCGCTGCGGCCCCTGGGCTGGCCAGCGTGGGCCGGGGGGCGTTGCGTCTCGCGGCCCTTCTCGACGCCGAGGCCTTGGCAGGCTTGCTGGAGAGGCAGCTGCTGCCGAGGCTGCTCGCGGCCGCCGACGCGGGTGCGCGGCCAGCTCTGGAGCGGCTGGTGCTGCAGGCCTCCACGAGGCTGCAGGAGTGGGCCACCGCGTGCCCCGAGTGAGCGGGGGCGATTAGCGCCACCGCAGTGGGGTCTGTGCCGACGT